TCGGGGGGGGGGGGGGAGGAGGAGGAGCTATTCTTACCCTTGGAAAGCATAAGACAAGATTCATGACACCAGCTAGGGAGGATAAGCTGAGGAGGGGATTTTTGATAAAGGTAAGAATGGAAGAATAAACAACCTGAAGTGGAGGGTATGAAATGAAGTATTAAAAGAGAAAAGACACTGCTCTGATGCATTCTGCAAGCAAGAAATCTGTTACAGACTGGGAGCAGTTTAACAGAAGAGAGCCTGAAGCCAAGTGTTAGAGTTTAAGGGAGCTGGGAGCTACAGGCGGCTACTGCAGAAGTCGGAGAGAGGGAAGAAAGTTGGTGGTCAGCAGCTGCTACAAGGAAGAGCTGAACAGGTTCAACGTAGAGGAAGGAGGGGGAAAAAAAACCCGAAGAACAAACTCAAAAGGAGGCAAAGGGGGGACGCTGGGATTCGGGGATCGGATGTCTACCTTCTAGGCAACAGCCAGCACAGGAGAGGAAAGGGAGAGTTGGTGTTTGGTTTGTGGGTTGTTTTTTTTTGGTGTCACTCACGATAGAAAACATATTCGGTATAAGAGGTCCAGATCCTGTCATCTGTCTGGTCATGGGCGAAGGCACAGGTGCCTGTGGAGTTGCAAGCCACCATGTGGAAGCCAGCATCAGCCAGTTTATCAAAGGCTTGCTCCAGGAAGGTGAATTTGAGGTAGTACCTGGAGGTGTACCTCTCCGGGGGCCTGTCCGGGTCCCTGCTCTCGTTCAAGGTATCCCCAAAGACCTCCTTGGCCAGCGACGTCTTGCCACAGACCATGATCCGTGCCACCCTGCGGAACTTGGCATCCGTCTGGCTGTCCCTGCCCAGGGTGTAGGAGCCCCGGTAGCCGATGGTGATGAAACCTGCCCTGCGGACGTCGGTGCTGGCAGCACCCACGCCAGCGGTGACGGCACCCCCGGGGCCACCAGCCACGGCGCTGGGGAGCATGGCACTGGCAGAGGGCAGGTTGCGGGTGGCGTCCGCGTTGGGGGAGAGCTCCTCCGGGTCGCTTTGGCATGGGTCATCTCCCAGCGAGTTCTGCTTGCTGAGCTTGGGGGCCAGCATCTTCACAAGCTCCGGCAGCATGAAGTACTCAGCCTCTCGCTGCAGGCGACTCCTCTCCGGGAAGTGGTCGGGCAGCACCAGCTGCTGGTCCCTCATGTAATCCAAGATGTAGCGGAAGAGGAAGCCATCCCGATCCACGAAGAACCGTCCCTTGCTGTCGCGGGCCAGGGAGCGGACGTTCTTCTGGGTGAACATCTCCCAGAGGAGCGAGCCAGGCACGCTGACCAGGGTGGGGTGGCGGGTGATGTAGACTTGTCCACCCACATTGAGTTCAATGATCTCAGGGAAAGGGAAGTCCTCGCTGGGTTTGGCACAGCCCGTGTTGTCTGCCAGGGCCATAGTGAGCTACCACTGCCTTCCCACCTGCAACTAAAAACAGCAACGTGCCAATGTTAAGCCTGCCAGCAAACGCAGCTCATCGTCCCACCAGATCGCACTTGCTTTGGGTCAGCAAGCAGTGCAGGATCAGGTCCCTGTCTCTCCAGGAATCTAGAAGTCAGCTCTCTTCCCTAATCCCTGGCTCTTGGAATAAGCAGCAGTAGCTAGCGCCGCCTTCCCTTCCATGCCACAAGAAGGGATGGTCTGAACACGCCATCTCCACCTGCAGCCCTCCCAACAGCCAGCTCCTGTGGCTGGGGCTCAGCACCTTTGCCAAAGAAGGCGCAGTGACGCTGTACTGATGTTAACAACAGGAAAGCCAGGACTGTCACACCCCGGGTCTGACCGGCTACCCGCCTGGCCCAGCATCCTGCCGGTCGAGAGGAGCCGCCGAGCGTGCCAAGTGAGGACTGCATTACGGCGCAGTGCCTCCTGCCGAGCCGGTGAGCTGGGGGGGAGTTTATGGTCCCACGCAAGGAGCACCCACAGGTCTGCCAGAAAAGCAACGCTAGATATCACTATAACGGACAGGGTGACAGTGCTTTTTGGCACTCCTGCTCCATCCTTGCTCCTGGAAAGTACTCGATAGAGACTCGAGGCCAAGCTGAGAGCAGATGAGAGATGGCAGAATCTCTCCAAGGGTCTGGGACCAAGACAAATACTGGGCTATTGGTACAGCCTCGGGCCAGATGCCATGTTTTTATACATTTTCCAAAGGCAAGCTGATTCTTAGGCATCTCTTGACACTGCAAATCAGCACTTATATAAACCTGGCTCAGCAGACGGACCCCGATCCAGCCTGGCCAAGCCATGCTCCGTGCAGGAGACCACGGAGAGAAGGGGTTTCCCTGCACCGTCCCTGTCCGCCTGGCAGGGTTGGCCTGAAGCTCTGCCCACCCCCCTGTGCGATGTTAGTGCGGCCCTGGGACTGCTCTGAAGTTGGCAGCAGCTGCCTGCACCCCCCCGGGGACCGGTCCTGCAGCCAAGAAACAACACTAAAGGATCAGCAGCAGCAAAGGGTCCTAACGCAAATTTCGGAGAAACTAAAGGGCAAAGATAAAACTCTGCGGGCACTTTTGGGTGGTGGGGAGAGCTGAGCCTGCGTTTCATGGCCACACGCCTCCTCCCAGCTTGTAGGGATGGACGTTCAGGGAGAATTGGTTTTGAACAAGGAGCGACTCGGGCAAGCCTCTGCCAAGGAAGAGACTGCAAAGATCGGAAAGAGGATCAGCGCGGTCCACCCGGCTTCCAGCTTCCCAAACCCTCTCCCGCAGCGGCTTTTAGTCCCTTTCTCTGGTGTTATGCCCACGCCGCTGTTCCCCTGCTACAGAAGACCAGGCAGGATCCTGCCTGTGCCCGGAGCTCATCTGGCAAGAGCCAGATCCCTTTGTCACGGGTGGCGGAGGCTGAGGGCTGCAAGCTGGGCTGCCCAACAGCAGGGCTAGGAGTTTGCAGGGGTGGGGGGGGACACACACAAGGAAAGCCGACCCCCTGCCCGCCTCATGCACGGAGCGCGTTTGCTGGCGGGCTGCAACCCCCTCCCCGGACCCGGCAAAAAGCCAGCGGGGCACCGACGGGGACACCGGCTCCAGGAGCCGGAGCCGTCCCCAGCCCTCCCCGGCGTTGCACCGGCCAGGGGACCCTCCTCCCC